GAGAGCGTGTGGCCTGTGAAGAGCTTTAGGCGTGAGCATAAGGTTTTTGGCCAAGGTGTTAAAAAGACCAGGATAGAGTAGTAGGTGATACAAAAAAGCCGAGAGGGGTGGTGTGTGAGAGGGAGTGGCCGGGAAGGGAATCTTGGTGCAGGGGAGAGGCTGGGAGGGATTTAGGTGAGTGGTGATGTGGTTAATGGGAAATCTGGAGAACTATGTCTGTGAAATTGAAATGTTAGAGACAACAGTTTTACAGTGAGAGTATGGGACATTTAGCACATGCATTAATCCCATGGAAACAAAACACCATTCACCAGTGACAAAACTGATACGCCTCGTTGACCGAGCTGCATAAACGATATTGGGCCCCTAGAGCTGCTGTTATGATTAAAAGCAATGTCTATAATTGCCTGTAAGTTCTGTAGAGCTAAGCTGAGCACCTAGAAAATACCAGAGCAAATGCTTGTTATTGGAGAACCACCTTTCTCACAGTTGGGGGTTGACTATTTTGAGCCGTTTGAAATCAAGGGAGGGTGCAGTAAGGCTAAGTGCTATGTAGTGTTTACTTGTTTTCAATTCGTGCATTTCATATTGTAACATGTGTTTACTTGTTACTAGTGCTACAGTTGAAATAGCTAATTGTGAATGGGAAATATTTTGGAGGTTGTCATCAGAAACCTTATTCGATAATACCAATTTTGACCCAAGCATCGGTCACTATACAGGTTTGTTGGCCCTCAGACTCTTGAGGTTGGCACAACTGTATAAACCTTATTTCTATATTGTTGGTAACAAAACCTGCAATTGCCACTTAAGAATTGCTGAGCATAAAACCACCAAAATATGTTCATGCAAACTGGACACTGCAGTGTACTTTCACTTTACTGTGTAAGTTGAATACAACACTTTTACCTATGTCATGCGACATAGATAGAATAGTGGAAATCATGTATTTGTTGATATAATTATCATAACATCATACATGCAAATGATTTGAAAGGGTCTGTGTTGTGGCTTGACCCTGGCGGAATGACACCACAGAGTAAAAGTTAAATGAAAGGGTAATATGTATGTCTTGTTTTACGTGGAAACCTTCCCCTGTATGAAGCACGTTGGGGCTCTAGTTATAAAAACGGTCCGCGTATATTATTTGTAGGCTCGTAATTTATGGCTACTGACATATGGCCTTGATGCTATATATTGTTATGCTCAATAGAAATGTATGGAAGTATGTAGAATGACGTTTGCTGTTGGCAAAATACTTCATTCTTGTTAACTGGTTTAGAAATGAAGCTACCGATATAATGAAGAACTTCTGATGTGCATATTATTGGGTCACCAAGTAGCTTTGCAGTTTAATGTTATCTGCCAAGTGAGTAAAATTCCCATGCTACGACTTTCTTAATTTACTTGTTTGGTATAATTGCCATAACGTCACACATGTTAGTCAGCTACGTAAAAGTGATAACAAAATACATGTGGTAAATTTACAGATATTTACTATATGGGGCAGACGTCTTGAATATGGTTTGAATGTGAATAAAGAGACAGGGTCCTATATAGAAAATATCAGTAGGTTTATCGCATGTATTTGATTTTCACTTATACGCCAGCTCACTGTGGTCTTGTGGTAGATTTAAAGGGGAAGTCAAGGCAAACAACATAATTTTCTCAGATGAAAAAGCTCCACAAATGTAGGAGAATGCAATTTACAGTTGTTATATCACTTTTCATTCTCCAGATATTCAACTTATCTTCAGTATTGTGTAGACCGCCATCTTGATTCCCAAGCAAAGACATTTTGGGTAGTAAAGTGTGACATCATATCCACTGTTGAGATATATGATTGTCACGACGCAAACAATGCATAATATTTTCTGACATTTTCACAGGATTTTCACAAAATTTATCAAGACTCATATTAACAGTAACAAATCCTTGGATTTCTAAGCTATTTCTCAAATTAGTCAAAACCAAACATAAATTATTTGCTAAAGTGAAAAATATCAACATAAAACATAACTACAAAACCTGCATACAAAGCTACTCTGTTACTGTGGGCGAGATAGTAAGGTCGGATGAGGTGGTAGAAAATTGCAGATGCTCAGAGCCTTGCTGTGTGATGGGATAGGCATGAGTGAGTGGCTAAGAGGGGCTGTCGACGGGTGTGTATTGTTAGGTGAGGCGGATCATAAAGGCTACAATTGAATAACAGGCAATACAAGAAAGCCGGCTGTACAAGAGGCGGTCTACAAGAGAGTGACTGGGAAGGGGTTGCATGCATGAGCGAGACGAAAAGGGGGAGCAGTAGGCGAAACTATAATGTTGGGTGAGGTGATAAATCACAAATGCCAGGACATGCAGTGAGACAAGGAGGGTCTGTTGGCATGGGGAAGAGGCAGAGACAGTTGCAGACGAAAGTGTAAGGTAGAGTGATTATTACACAATTACACAGTTTTTATTTATTAATCATAATTCAACATCTATGAATTTGTCATTCATCTATAGTCGCTTCTGGACACGCACTATATATGGGTCAAGAACACTAACTGCTCTTAGAAGGCATTTGCTTGTTGGTGGCTTGATATTATCAGGAATACTGAATCTGTAATTCTGTATTAATGATGTGAAGATCAAAAACAACTCCATGTTTGCTAACTGTTTTCCGATACATTCACGGTGACCTGGAATAAAAGAACAACAGCTAGTGACAATCAATTTGGTAATATATTTGGTAACATATTTGATGATATAATCCTAAAATAAAGAATATATCAAAAAGTGGTGCAAATCAAAGCTGATATAACATTAGGTGCAACAAACGATTATCATGCCCTTGGAGATGTAAGTTAACAGAGGAAAAGTTTGTGCTCTCGAAGATTAAAGATGGATCATAGTTCAGGCAAAATCAAAGCTTTGGACATACGAAAAAGACAGGACATAAAAATAGGCCATGCACTTTGGTTGATATGTTATATAATATATCTTAGAGAGTACTATGTTATTACTAGAAAGCTGCTAGGACCCGTCAAACTAGTCAGGAGACTAATGCAGGTGGACAGGTGAAGAATCTGATCAAAAGCCACGAGTTTGTTTGTGTATTAATTCCCAATAAGTATCTGTATCTGTATCCTATCAGAATAAATTCAGTTTCGAATATAATATACTGCCCGTGTCCTCTTGGAAACGGCAGATTGAATAATTATTAATAATTATAATTCTAAGGTCGTCCTTAATATATACTCACACATGAACATGAACTAACTTGAGAAGGAATATACTATCTCGCACAATAGTGTAGGTAGTACATTAATATGTATATGTAATTTGGAAATTAATGAAAAACGATATTGTGGACTACTGTCTTATTTAATTCGTGCCTAAAAATTGTATTAATAGATATGACCTAATAAAGACAAACAGCTTGTTAGAGCCATTGCCACATACAGTCAAATAAGAATAGAATAGCTGCTATCTATAGGCATACTGGGTCTCATGGCATTGAAAATTCTCCAACGCAGTGACACTTTGGCTGGAAAAAGTTATACCTTGTTTGACACACTGCATGGCTAATAGTGAAGCGGAAAATTGTTAAAATTAGTTATCGCTCTAACATAATAATACAAAGTGTCAATATGTCTACAACCATCAATCCCCAGATGATACAACCAGTAAACTAAAATTCGGTATACGAACGTATACGAAGCCATCCATGTTCTTAAAATCTGTGTCTTACTAGATTTATGGCGAGATTATTCCTAAAACAAATATTCCCACCAATTGCTAAATTGGCTGGAATAACAAAATGTATATTAAAAGGTATTGACTTTGTGTGCAGTAATAACGTGTTTTCAATTGACATTCTTATTTTAATGTATCGTAAATATTAGACTTTTCATTTCCAACATCGATTTTACTTGGTGGATTCAACTAACGAATGATATAAAAAAATATAAATATTGTTGACACAATAACAGTAACTGGATGGAATGTAAAATTATCTCTGGCACAACTTAGGGGTGGGTTGGGGTAAGTGATTTGTAGCATGTAATATAACACTATAAGGTTAATGACATACCTAAACCAAAAGGTATCAATTCAAGACGCTTAGACAGACTGCCATTTTTCATGAACCGATCTGGCCTGAATGTCTCTGGGTCGTCCCATACAGTAGCGTCATGGTGAGCTGACCATAAATTCGGCAAAACATATGTACCACTCGGGATGAAATAACCATTAATCCATGCATTCTTGGTTACTCTGTGTGACACAGAGAATGGAACAATAGTAGACATTCGATGGACTTCATTCAGGGTAGCATCTACATAAGGTAATGACGGTCTGTCTGTTGTGGAAACCGGTCTTGAGGCACCAACTACATCATCAATATCAGCCTGTAGCTTATATTGTATTTTCGGATTCAACACCATGTATTGCATAGCCCAGTTTAAAGTCATTGATATGGTTTCAGTTCCCGCCGAATACAGGTCCCAGAGTGTATAAGATAGACTATCATATAGCATCGTAGCGTGGTCACCTAGAGTCTCAATACGTGAAATTGCCATATCAATGAAACATTGCGGCTCCGAGTTTGAATCAAAATTGCGGATATAGTCTTTGATATATTGGCGAAAAATCTTCGCACCACCATCGATAATTGCGTGCATTTCATTTGCATAATTCATTCCCGGTAAGAAACGTAATGTGGGGAAAAAGTTAGATGCTCCCACTCTATTAACTGTCCTAGTGAATGAATGCTGCAAGGAGAGCAGTTTTAAAAAGGTTGTATCATTATTATCAAATCTTTTCCCAAGAAGGATAGTAGTAATAACATTTGCCGGAGTTTGAGTGAGTATATCAAGAAGATCAATAGGCTGATTAATTCTCTCGTCTAGATCTGCCATCATATATTTTATTTCTCGTAATATCTTCCCTTCCAGCCTTAATGAACCCATTCCACATTTTCTAAGAGCCATGAGAGTAAATCGGCGTTCTTCTTTCCATACATCATTGTAGTCAATATTGATCAACCCTGCAAGCAGAAGTAAGAAATAAAATGTGTAATTCGGGGTTCAATCAATCATTATGCAAATGATCGAAATGTAGAATGACTAGAATCTGCACAAATACCCATAATTGGTTACACACATTGTTCACTGTTGAGACTGCGACTCGTATCATTGTCGGTGTGTAATATCTAGACACTACTTTTTTTTTGACTCGTTTAATTCAAAATATAAATGGTGTCACGATCCAATTGTCGATGTGCACCAGTAATCCAATAGTGATGATATCTAACACACAATCATATTGATGTGATATATAGCATTTATACACATTGTTAGAATGATGGTATCTAACACAGTCATATTGATGTGATATATGGCATATATACACATTGTTAGAATGATTATATCTAACACAGTCATATTGATGTAATATATAGCATTCAGACACATTGTTAGAATGTTGATAACTAACACAGTCATATTGATGTGATATATAGCATTTATACACATTGTTAGAATGATGATATCTAACACAGTCATATTGATGTGATATATAGCATTTATACACATTGTTAGAATGATGATATCTAACACAGTCATATTGATGTGATATATATCATTTTTACACATTGGTAGAATGTTCATATCTAACACAGTCTTTTTGATGTGATATAAAGCATCTATACACATTGGTAGAATGTTGATATCGAACACAGTCGTATAGATGTAATAAAAAGCATCTATACACATTGTTAGAATGTTGATATCTAACACAGTCATATTGATGTGATATAAAGCATCTATACACATTGTCAGAATGATGATATCGAACACAGTCATATTGATGTGATATAAAGCAATCATACACATTGTTAAAATGCTGATATCAAACACAGTTATATTGATGTGATATAAAGAATATATATACACATTGTCAGAATGATGATATCGAACACAGTCATATTGATGTGATATAAAGCATTTATACACATTGTTAGAATGTTGATATCAAACACAGTCATATTGATGTGATATAAAGCATTTATACACATTGTTAGAATGTTGATATCTAACACAGTCATATTGATGTGATATAAAGCATTTATACACAGTGTTAGAATAGTACGCCCGACTAGTTTCCAAGGACGTGGTTGATTCTGGCATGTAATTAGTTAAAGCGCGATGGTCGTCGCGCAGCGCGTGCTCGAATATCATGTAAATAAACAATGTATTTTACACGCGTTGTATACGTCGCTATGAGTCCCATATCTTACAGGACGAGGCGCGACGACTGCCGCCCTTTAATGTTACACACAAGTATTACGCTTTTGTAATGTAGGATACAAATACAAGATAGACGGATAATTATAAGGCTACTAAATAAATAAAACATCGCATCTAGAAATAAAAGTAGGGCTCGCAGCGAATATGCAAATATTTCTAAACACCTAGCC